GCCCGCGGCCCGAGGAGTCCTCGCGGCCGACAGAGCTTCTGAGACCGATTTCGTCTCCAGGCCTCCCCAGGGTCTCGCCAGCATCATACGAAGCAACAGTACTTCTTCCACCAGGACTTGGAGAGAGTCCTCATTTTGTCCGGAGTCCTGCTCTTGGGCTTCTTTGGCTGCTGCTGCTGCGTGTCCGAGTACTGGATGCCGGCCACGATGGCCGCGTCGAAGACCTCCTTGAGGTTCTTCTGCGTCAGGGCCGAGCACTCGATGTAGGAGGCGGCTTTGATCTCCTCCGCGCACAGCTTGGCCGCCTCCTCGGGCACCGGCTTCTCCTTGCACTTGTCCAGCTCGATGGGGACTTTGATGTCTTCCCGGAGGTCCGACTGCGTGCCCACGAGGATGATGGGGGCTTTGGGGCAGTGGCGCCGGATCTCGGGCACCCACTTCTCGGTGACGTTCTGGAAGGAGGAGGGGCTGACCACGCTGAAGCAGAGCAGGAAGATGTCCGCGTTGGTGTAGCACAGGGGCCGCAGCCTGTCGAACTCGTCCTGCAACCAAAGCACCCGGAGTTATTTTTTAAAAAATATGTTTTTATTGATTTCAGAGAGAGGAAGGGAGAGGGAGAGAGAGAGATTGAAACATCAATGGTGAGAGAGAATAATTGCTCCGCTGCTTCCTGCACGTCCCCTGCTGGGGATCGAACCCACAACCTGGGCATGTGCCCTTGACCAGAATCGAACCCAGGACCCTTCAGTCCACAGACCGACGCTCTATCCATGGAGTCAAACCGGATAAGGCCACCCAGAGTTATTTTTTAAGTCCATCTCATCCACAGAAAGACCACCTTTACATTTTAAAATATATATATATTTATAGAAATACCAGAGGCCTGGTGCACAAATTCATGCACGTGTGGGGTCCTGCTGGGCCGCCCCAATCGGGGCCAATCAGGACGGGCTGGCCAGGGGGAGGGGACATGGGAGATTGGCTGGCCGGCCCCACCCCTGATCGGGGTTGGGGGCCATGGCACTGTATTCGGCTGCTCGATATTAATATCATCTCGTTCCTGTTTGACATTTCTGATTGTGGCTGCGGAGCATCCTCAGGTGTCACATGACAGATGATTTCCAGGGCCGGGAAAGGCTCCGTGTCACCCAGGTTTTTGTGACGAACTGCCAAGCTCTGATTATTTACACACGACCATTCACATGCACATGACTCAGCATCCATCTTCCCAGGAATAAAGGAAACCCGGGTGTGTTTCATGTGAACGCCCTTTCTTTGTTTGGGCTATTTCCATCGCCGGGTGACAACGGTCTAACGATATTAAAGTCGACCGGCTCACGAGATCAGGAGTGACGGGGGCATCTCAGAACGTCCCTGGCCCCTGGCCAGTCTTCTGTAAGCAGAAGTCAGAAAGAAGAATGACTTGGGTTTCTTCGTGCCAACTTCGAGCTGAAAGAATCAACACAGAAACTCGACCAGGTAGAGACCATGGCCCGGCTCTGAGGTTCAACTGCTGAAACGTTCCCTCTGTTCTCCGAGGTCCCGAAGCATAAAACCGAGAGCTGCTGTGAGGTCAGCTCCCTGGGGCGGCTGCACTCGCTCTTGGAAGGCACTCACCCCCGGCCATGCCCTGGCATCTGGGGTTGCGTTACCAGTAAAAAGAGAGGCAAGCTCAGGGGCTGGGGCCCGCGACGGGGCGGGCGTTGGACACGACTTCTGGAGATTCTGGCGGAGGGATTCGGGAAGCCGGGCAGAAATGAAACCCTCCTGCTCATTGCCCGACCAGAAACCCTAGATATTTGCAGAAATAAATGCAACGCACATGTGTGCAGCGAGGCCAAGGAGGATGGATGTACCTTCTTTGGGTCTGTGGGGAGGATCCGGTTCAGGAGCCGGGCCGGCCAGGCAGGCCTCGGGGCAGTAGGTCCGTCCAGCTGTAATCTGATTATTTACTTATTTTTTTGGTATAAAGGTTTTTTCCACGCGCCTCCTGGGTCCGAAGGCGGGAGGCTTTTCAGCTCCTCTTGGCAGGGCTACAACGGACCCGTCTTCTCGCAGCGGCGCCCCCTCCCTCAGATGCCAAAGTCACGTCTCCCAAAGTCCTCGGTGACGGATCAGCTTTCACTCGAGTGAGACTGTGAGTCCGGTGTTTAAAGCTCCTTCTGTGCCCACCTGGCCTCGCCGACAAGAAAACCCGCGGGCACGAGAAGCGATTTCTTGGCGATTTCTCCCGCCCGGAGAGCTGGATTCTTGCTCTGAGCTTCCGTAGGAGTTATACTGACCAGCATAACTCCCCAGGTTATGGCTCCCTGTGCTCACTCTGCTGGAGCTGGGAACGGAGAGAGCTGAGTCACTGTGCATCCGCCGGGCAATCCTGGGTACTGCCTGGAGGAGGGGCGTTCCACTGGCTGAGTCAACACGAAGTGAATACGGCAGGAGTCAGAACAAGTCCTTTAAAAGGTAGCTGATCAGCTCCGGAGTAGGTGGGGAGAAAGGGCCATCGCTTTGGCCAGCTTTGCCAATCGTCAAAACCAATACTAACTGATACTGGGGGAGTGGGAAACAATGAACTCCATCTTCCCAGCTGTATAGATTTCCCAGTGATTTTTAAAAAATATACATTTTTATTGACTTTTTACAGAGAGGAAGGGAGAGGGATAGAGAGTTAGAAACATCGATGAGAGAGAAACATCGATCAGCTGCCTCCTGCATGCCCCGTACTAGGGATCGAGCCTGCAACCAAGGTACATACCCTGGACCAGAATCGAACCCGGGACCCTTCAGTCCACGGCCCAATACTCTATCCACTGAGCCAAACCGGTCAGGGCATATTTCCCAGTTTTTACAGTTGGCTTTCTACAAATCTTCAGATAAGTAACCTCATTCAGGACATAACCTAACTAGTACATCAGGTAAGAAACACTAGTATAATCATCTCAACGAAAACACTGCCGGGTGACCGGACGAATACACTCCTAATACCCCCAAAGCTTTGCAACTGAGCACCCAACCCCTCTATTCTCCAAACATAAATGTCTTTCGTGAAAATATTTCTCAAATGACTCACATGTTTCTCTGACTTTTACTTATTTTCTTTTAAAATATATAATTGTTATTGATTTCAGAGAGGAAGGGAGAGGGAGAGAGAAATAGAAACATCCATGGTGAGAGAGAATCATGGATCGGCTGCCTCCTGCACACCCCTTTAGAGTAAGCAACCCGGGCATGTGCCCTGACTGGGAATCGAACTGTGACCTCCTGGTTCATCGGCCGACCACTGAGCCACGCCAGCCGGGCACAACTTCTTCTTAAAAGCAAATGGTTACGTGGCAACACTTCAGAAAGCAAGGGAAGCAAGCACTCCTCCCTGCCTACAAGATAGCCCCCCGGGTACTTTCGCTAAAGCTAGCAAGTGCTGGTCCTGGAGTCCTTATCGTAACCCACGTGCTTATTAACTGTCATTCCGGCAAACTCAGAAGATGGCAGCTGGGTCCTAAAGAGAACAGAGCCCAGCCAGTGGGGCTGAGTGGTTGAGCGTCGACCTATGAACCAGGAGCGCCCGACCACTGAGCCACGCCAGCCAGGCACAACTTCTTCTTAAAAGCAAATGGTCACGTGGCAACACTTCAGAAAGCAAGCGAAGCAAGCACTCCTCCCTGCCTACAAGATAGCCCCCGGGCACTTTCGCTAAAGCTAGCAAGTGCTGGTCATGGAGTCCTTATCATAACCTACATGCTTATTAACCGTCATTCCGGCAAACTCAGAAGATGGCACGCTGGGTTCTAAAGAGAACAGAGCCCGGCCGGTGGGGCTGAGTGGTTGAGGGTCAACCTATGAACCGGGAGGTCACGGTTCGATTCCCGGTCAGGGCACCTGCCCGGGGTGTGGGCTCGATCCCCAGTGTGGGGCGTGCAGGAGGCAGCCGATCAGTGATTCTCTCTCATCATGGATGTTTCTCTCTCTCTCTCCCTCTCCCTTCCTCTCTGACATCCATAAACATATATTTAAAAGAAAATAGAGAGAACAGAAACTTCGGTGGCTTGAGAGCCGTGCCAAGGGGGGGACTGAATGATGATGAAAACCTGGAGCTCTTGGCGATGTCCACACCCCTGTGTCCTCCCCGTCACTCCCCCGGCTGCCTCCTCCGAGAGCCTGCCCCTCAAGATAAGAGTAAATGTTCACGATTTGAAAGACTGGGTTCCGGCCCAGCCCTTCCCCCGCAGCTCAGGCCCGCTCCCGCCACTGCATCTCTGCCCCCAAGGATGGCAGTGGCCCTGGGGAGTCGAGCCCCAGCTGAGGGAGGGGCACAGGGACACGGACAGACATAAACCCCATCTCCTCTTCAGGACAAGCCCTCAACATCTGGCTCGTTGCCCTTTAACACACTGATTCTAAGATACGACCAACTTACGTGGAGAAAGGATTACAAAGCATTTCTTTTCCCCCCATAAAAACCAGAAAGTAAAACAGGATCAGAAACTCCGGTGAGGTAAGAGCTGTTCTTGACCCTGCTCTCCCCCGTCCTGCCCACCCACAGCTGGCCACACCCCGTTTTACGGGCGCAGAGATTTCCCGCACGCCCGCCTCCCTCGGAGAGGGGCCCACGGCAGGGGTGGGGTGACGGCGTGTGGGTGCAGAGTCACCCAATGGTGGAGGGGGGTTGCTGGGCGGCCTTCAGAGAGCCGTTTCCTGTCCCAGCACGGAATCAGGATGTGATACTGACCTGTCCCGCCGTGTCACAGAGCTGCAGTCGCACGGGCCGCCCATCCACAGACACCACAGCTGAAAAACAGGACCAAAAGGATCAGCGGGGGTTGTCTCTTAACCACTTGCCCAAGAATCATCGTTTTGGCCTGCCCCACCACCCTCACTCGGACCCTGCAGCTCCTATGCCTGGTCCCCCAATCAATTAAAGGCTTGCCTAAAACGAGGAGGCCCACAAGGCATCTTCTAGATATATAAAAGGCTAAGATGCCAGGTGTCCCCTCGGGAGTTCCACCTGGAGAACGGGAGTTCGCTCGCTCGCTATGACGTGCGCTGACCACCAGGGGGCAGTGCGTAACATGGTGGGCGACCAGTGGCAGCAGAGCACAGGTGGCAAGGGAAGGAGAAGGGGAGGGGAGGTGGGGAGGGGGGGCGAAACCTGATCAGCCCTGATCTCCAGCCAGTCCTAGGGACCCTACCCATGCACGAATTTCGGGCTCCGGGGGG